CCCCAAAGATTTGTATCCTTGGAAATCCCCTGGATTTCCTTCTACAGTATTTTATAGTGTTGCTCTAAGTCAGAATCAACTAAGTGTCAGCGCATTTGGTTTTGATTTAATTTTATTTATAATTTACTACAGGAGATAGAAAATATTTTGGATAGGTTAGTAGGCAATAAATAGTTTTCTTAAGGATCTTAATTGCTAAGTATTAAATAGTGAACTTGGGACCATTTCCTCAATCTTAGTGGATAACCATAACCGATAATCTGTAGCTAAATTCTCATAAGGCATAATATGTTTTGTTAGGTGTCCAACCACAGAGACCTTATGCACAACAGAACGAAATCCTCGCTGGCCATGTCCATCCTCAACTATTCCTGTGCGGCTCAATGTCAGGATGTCAATGCATCTCCTTGAGGTTCTTCCTCTTTTGCCCTATCCTTCTACTTTACCACATAAAATAAAAGGACATAAAATTAGCTTTTCTGGTGTTCCCTAACAAAATAATGTAATGGATAGTAGGTGGGCCTTTTCACCCACAAATGGTAATAGTGCACGTATTTTTTTTTTATTGGTAAACATACAACTTTTCGAAACTGTTGAATAGTAGCAGTTAAGGATAGATTTTACTGTCTGTTTTTTTTCTTCAGTCTGCAGTGACTTTTGTATTAATTCCTCATCTATCAATAGTGAGATGTGCGTATATGCATCTTATTTAGAACACTGGTGCTTTTGTGACAGTTATATATGGTCTTCTTAAATAAGACACTGAATACAGAAATATTTTTCATAAGCTGAAATTAGATTCTTTGTTTTGTTGTTGTTGTGAGGTGCCATCAAGTTGGTTTTGACCCATAGCGACCCTATGTATAACAGAAGAAAATACTCCCTGGTCGATCCTCTTAACTGTTGCTATGTTTGAACCCACTGTTGCAGCCACTGTATCAATCGATCTTGCTGAGGGCCTTCCTCTTTTTCACCGCCCCTCTACTTTACCAAACATGATGGATGTCCTTCTCCAGGGACTGGTCTCTCCTGACAGCATGTCCAAAGTACATGAGACAGATTCTTGCCAGTCTTGCTCTAAGGAGCACTCTACCTGTACTTCTTTCAAGACATATTTGTTTGTTTTCTTGGCAGTCCATGTTACTTTCAATATTCTTTACCAGCAATACAATTCAAATGCATCGATTCTTCTTTGGTCTTCCTTATTCAATGTTCAGCTTTCATGTGCATATGATGTCACTGAAAATGCCAAGGCTTGGGTCAGGCACACCTTATCCTCAAGGTAAACACCCTTCCTTTTCAATACTCTACAGAGGTCTTTTACAGCAAAATTTCCCAATAAAATGCTACATTTGATCTCTTAACTGCTCTTCCATGAGCACTGATTGTGGATCCGAGCAAGGCAATATCCTTCACAACTTCAATCTTTTCTGTGTCATGATGTTACCCATCGGTCCAGTTGTGAGGATTTTGGTCTTCTTTACAGTAAGTTGTCATCCATACTGAAGACTGCAATCCTTGATCTTCATCAGAAAGTACTTCTCACTTTCAGCAACCCAGGTTGTATCATCCACATCCCGCAGGTTGTTAACAAGCCTTCCTCCAATCCTGATGCCACCTTCTTAATATAAGTCAGCTTCTTGGATGATTTGCTCAGCATATAGATTGAATAAGTATAGTTAGAAGATACAATCCTGACACAAACAATTTTAAACCATGCAGAAGTTCCGAGTTCTGGTTCTGTATGAACACACTAAAGTGTTTAGGAATTCCCATTCCTCTCAAGGTAATCCATAATTTGTTATGATCCAGACAGTCGAAAGCCTTGGCATAGTAAATAAAACACAAGTAAATATCTTTCTGGTATTCTCTGCTTTCAGTCAAGATCCAGCTGACATCAGCAATGACAAACTTTGTTGCAAGTCCTCTTCTGAATCTAGCCTGAACCTCTGGCAGCTCACTGCCACTGTTGTTGGAAGACTTTCAGCAAAATTTTACTTGCATGTGATATTGGTGCTACTGTTCTGTGATTTGAACATTCTGTTAGGCCATCTTTCTTTTGAATGGGTACAATTAGGATCTCTTCCAGTCAATTGGCCAAGTAGCCAAATTCCTTCCAAATCTTCTAGTATAGATGAGTGAGTTCTTCTAGTGCTTCATTAGCTGGTTGAACACTTCAATTGGTATTCCACCAATTCCTGCAACCCTGTTTTTGGCTAATGCTTTGAGTGCAGCTTGAACTTCTTTCCCTTAGTACTATGGTTCTTGCGCATATACTACCTCCTGAAACGATGGAATGTCAATGAGTTCTTTTTGGTAGATTGACTCTCTGTATTCTTTCCATCTTCTTTTGATGCTTCCTGCCTGATTCAATATTTTTCCTGTAGAGAATCTTTCAATATTGCAACTGGAGGCTTGAATTTTTCCCCAATTCCTTCAGTTTAAGATATGCTGAGTGTGTTCTTTTCAAGTCTTTGCACATATCATGATAATACTTGCCTTTGTCTTCTTGAGCTGCGCTTTGAAATTTTCTATTCGCCGATTTGGCTCATTTCTTCCCTTTGCTTGAGCTACTCTATGATGAAGAGCAGGTTTCAGTCTTTTCTGATCCTTCACCTTAAGAGTATTAAAATCTAAGGAGCCCTCTCAAGCCTAATAGCTGCATCTACTTCATACAAGAGGCTGGCCTTGCCGAGCATGCAGCCGGGCTGGATGGGAGATATAACAGCCCCAGTATCAGAACTGTACACATGTCTAGGTGCAAGGAGAGATGGCCATGGAGACTGGGCAGGCGGCAGGTAAGGGGCTGGAAGTGCAGCTGCAGATGGCAGCCTGTACCTCTGAATGAAGCCGAGAGAGGGCTAAGGAAGAGAGTTTGTGGGAATTGGGATGTGCCCTAGAGCCCCATGCTTCATTAACTCTGGAGGCCTGGGGTCTTTAAAACCATTAGGGTGAAGTAATACACAAAAAGAGAGCTGCTTTCTCTTAAAAAATAGCAACAAAAACACCATATGGGGCCACAACCATACTCAAAAATGCCCATCAGATGTTACCCAAATGGGTATTAAGCCACACAGAACATTTGCTTTATAAAGGAAAAGTATTTTATTTTATTCTTAGAGAGCAATTTTAAAAAGAGGTAAGTAAAATAAAACTTAAAAATTCATTTTATAAAATTTGACTTAAAAAGTCCTATTCTTAGCACCTCAAATATGAAAGACACCAGGAACCCTCAAGTCAGTAAAACTTTCAAAAACCAGAACCAAAGCAAACAAACAAACAAACCTGGCTCAAGCAGTTTAAGAAAAATACAATTTAAAGAACATAAAGAGTTTTGGGTATAGTTTACAAATTTATTATGAGGCAAAATAATCACTTAACATATTCCATCTAGATAAACACAGGTAGATCATGTAGAATAATAAACACTAAATCTAAGGTATCATAATATATTGATCCTATTTTCACATCAGCCTGTAATGCTAATGTGCAAAAGTGTCAACTTTACAAAATAAACTTTACTTCAAAGTACTCATTCAGATTATAAAGAAGCAATTAATATTGACATTCTACGTAATATACTATTCATACTGCCTTATGAGTATACTTGTTAAGTTGTCTATATCATTATACTTATTGCACAAATTCTAAAGCTGACAAGAAATAACCACTTATAACAAAATCCACCCTAAAAATACTTTTCTACCACATCATTTCATAAACATATGACTATAATGAGTATACTTTCCCTCTGTCTCATTACGTTTTGCAGACACAGCATTGTGGGTTTTTAATTCACATATACATGTTAAGTAACTTAAAAACATAAGCTATTGAATTACTCAACGATTTCAATCTTTATCTATTAACTGTAAAGAAAATACAAGACTCTATAAGCAATAACTATGAAAGTTAACAATTTTGATGGAAGAATTGGTAAGTAATTTCTCAAAGGTCAAAGAGAGCACATTAATGATTTTCCTTCAAATATAAATTTTTCACCATGACAAAACAGAGCAACAACAAAACCCACCCTCATACAGGGTTTCTTAGACTATACATTTTTCAGGAGCAAACTGCCTCTTCTTTGCTCCTGGTGGTTTTGAACTGTCAATCTTTAAATTAGCAGTCCAATGCCTTACCCAAAAGTACTTCCTTAAAGGATTAGGAAAAACAGCTCTCAATGTATGGTAAAAAATGGTAGAACTTGGTAAAAGGTATCTGCCTCTATATAAACATTTATTTTCTGAAATAAGGCATTTCTCCTCAAAATTATAATCTCAAAGAAATTCATGTTTTATACCACTACAAGCTAAACACACATATATATATAAAACATTTCCTTTAAATATGTTTGTGAGTTGGGATTTTTAAATTTCTAACCAGGTACAGTAATTAAAATAATCAAAACCATAATAAAATATAATTTGATGTGCTAATTGTACAAAACTTAGGATAATCTGCCATATAAATGATACATTCCCACACTTAGTTGTTGATCATTAAGATTAAACAGAAACAGACACTTTGAGTGCCAATATACATCATTTTCTTTATACCACTTAAATTTGCAAATAAAATGGAAAGCAAGATATCTTTCTGAATAAATTGGTGGATATTCATGCAAAGTTTTTACACTATGTATTTAAATGCTATCAGAGGAATGGAGGACAAGCTACTTGAGTCTTGTTCTTTTTACTGGACATGCCTTCAATTTTAGCAGTAGATTAATCTTTTATTGTTGTTTTTTTTTTTGCCTGTCCTAAAGATACTATTGTTATTCCTTTTTCAGCAATATAAGAGGAGTGTTATAGATATAAGTACCTAAATAAGTTTAGAACTATTCTAAATCAGGTTTACAGTTATGGAGATAGTACTCAATTCAATCAACATTATGAATCATGCACTGTGTATCAGCATTCAGACAGCAGACACCAGGCATAAATTATTTCATGAATAATGAAAATGAAAGCATCTAATATTATATGAAAGTATTTTACCTGGATTAGATGAGGCAATGATTTTAGGGTAAGGCAGAACCAAATTCCCAGCTTGCATGGAAGCAAATCATGCCATTGTGGTTTTGTCAGCAATCTGAAGGAAAAGAATACAAACTTTAAAATACCACAATGTACAAAGTTGTGAGACGAATTATATTTATAAAGATCATGAATTCTTTATTCTAATTCCCACTTTGACAAAAAAACAAAAAGAAATTATTGAGTGAAATACAGATGATGGTTATCATTTAATCTGTTATTCTATGATAAAAGGTAGTAGTTACAAAAATGCAGTAGCTATAGCAAATACGAAAATGCAAGTTAAGGCTTTAGGAAAAGCAGCTGCTAGGCAAATCATGAACATAAAAAAGAAAACTCAAAGTCCTCCTTCTAACCTGAACTTTTCATCACATGAATTTCTTAAAACCTTGTGATTATTGCAGCTAGAAAAGACGAGGCACCATCAGACTGTCCCCAAGTGCTGACACCCAGATGAGGACTGCACCATAAACAAACCAACACATAAAAGTTAATGTCGTTTGCTCCTCACAGAAGCATCCCTCACTGATGTCATCAGAATAGGCTCTGATCTCCACCCCACACTGATGCAGCCCATGCCCTGCTGTGCCAGCTATTTAAACCCTTTATTTCTTTCTGTGGATCAATAGAAGAAATGTTGGGTCGTTTGGAGCCTACGGACTGCCTATCACTGCTTCTCTACATAGTGTCATGTCAGAGTTAAATACTAAAGTGACAAATTCTTCTACCAATACCTTGTATTGTAAAAATTTCAAGCTCTAAGAATTTGGGGGTTATTTTATTTAAACATACATATTAAAGCTTAACATGGGGGGAAATCTGTAAATTTTGCTTGAAAATTACTTGTTTCATAAACTAAGGCACATCATTAGTGTTTGATAATAAACCTACTACAGATATCAATGCTGGCACATCTGAAATGAATATATATGACTTTAAATTATACTTATGTCCAAAACTTAATTGAAAATAGTTTCAAATTATAAAATAGTTAGGAATGCTCCCACCTTTCATTTTTTTCAGAAGCACTGAGTTTTGATGCATCCACACTCTTGCTGCCTGTCTTTTTTTTCTTTTCTCTCTTTTTTCTACTAAGCAGTTCATCCTTAATGTAAAAAGAATTACGGTTACAGGTTATCATTAGCATGTATTCTTCAAATGTTATCAAGAATCTTCTGTGAAGGGTAAACATTATGGAGGAACATTATGCAAATATATGTAGGGTCCAACATGATTAAGTAAAATCATCAATCTTTAACAATAACTGTTGCCATGGTATCCAGCCCTTAAACACACATGAAGTTCAGCACTGTCAGTCATATGCATCTCCATAGCAATCAAACTTTTCTAAGCAGAGAAAGCATTCAACTTACTTTTTCTTATTCATCCAACTTTAATAATGTCACTTCAAAAAGAAAGAGCAAACAGACGCTAATTCATGAATACTGATAGATGTTTGATTATCTTTTAACATACAAACAAAAGTCCATTGCTTGGTAAACTATATAGTATATTAGACTAAAGAAATATAAAAAATTTTAATAAACTGATCTCCAAAGTTATGGAATAATATACAATTTAAATATGACCTTATTTTAAGGTATATGTGCATTACATAAAAACCTGTGTCACAAAATTTTCTAAAATAATTCTCACACTAAAAAATAAATTTCTCTTTGGAGAGTAAAAATCAAGAGAACATGGTTTCTACCCTCTAATCCTCAGCGGGGAGAAGCCTCTTGATAACCAATTCTCTAGATATTTGGGCCTTCATAAAGTTTTTAAACTCAAAGGCCGCGTGTATAAATGGGTGTTCCTCTCTTTCACGGGTTCCTCTTGACTCAGAAATAGAGGCAAGTCTGCAAGTTGCAAAGGAGCGAAATCTCAATCTCCTTTGCCTTTAAGTCAAATTTGCTGGAGAGTTGGTGGAACAGGTGCATATGGTTCTTATTTGGAAAACACGAGAAAAGGCTCTAAGTGCTTACAGTGATTTAAAATCTCCAAAGCAGCAAGGGGGGGAGATTATGATGAAGAATTTGTGGCAGGTAGGGGTTGGTTCCAACGGGAGGTCAAATTTATATAACGTGAAAGGGCAAGTATGAGCTGTCCACATGGTGGATGCTCATACTGCAGGGACCACCTCTATACCACCAAATACTAAATATCGAATGTACAATGATTAGAAAGTACATACATATAGAAATATTGTAAAATTTATGGGTTGAAAAGAAATGCTTGAAGTGCCATATAGAATTAAGGATAGTAAAACATTTGATTTATTACCCAAACTTACCAGTTGTTTTTCCAGGTAGATTGACCAAACCACAGCATAATGACCCACGGTGAGAATAATGAACAAGAGTAATGCCAGCTCAGCATTGCTCAATTTTCTCACCCGCCTGTAGTAGAATACAGGCTGTCGCCAATCTGGAAGTCCATTGATCAGAATATCATCATACCTACAGTAGCAAACATAGGAGTTTTTCATACGGACTTTAAAACAAAAGTAAAGATGTATTCGTCCTATATTTAAAAGAGGAAGAATAAATCGTTTCTGCAAAACACAACATTTACACAGATTACTTGTATGATGTTGTCTAGTAAATTCAGATATAGACCCAGTGACAGATAACTTTGAAAGGTACAGTACACTAAACTGTTAGTAGCAAGGCTTGTGTTTTTTCAGAGCCCCAATGAAGTGACTCATGGAATGATGGCCGGCCTAGAGAAGTCGTGCAGTAAAGATCTCACCATACAACATACAAGCCAGCAACAAAAGGACAGCCCCAAGAGGGAAAAAAACCATTAAGGTAAAAATTCCATTTGTTACATTGAATTACATAATTGAACCACAATCGTAGGATACATTTTCTAGTCATTGCTTTTATTTCCAGCCCCATAACATGGTTCGAGGTTGAAACATTTATATATATTATTTTATAAAAGCTTTTTGATGAAGTGAAAGCCTATAAAATAAACACACTTTAATTCAGTATTGCTCACATTCCTTTATAAAACTCCGAATTAGAAATAGAGGTAGAGACAACAAATGTTCATGCTGGCTCTTTTGATGTAACTGTTTATCTGTAAACATTTAAATGTCACTTGACCTATTTGGGGCTTTTTCTGGAAGAAGAGAACAGAAAAAGCATACATGTTTCAAAATCTATTTGCTTGTTACTACAAGACTGGAAGCAAAAAAGTTACTTGAGGACAAAACTTTAACTGAATTAAAATTTGCCTGCCAGACAGTTATTAAGGCAAATACTTCTAAAGTTCAAAATAAGGAGATACATTTATGAGGTAAAATTCAAAATGGTCACATGCAAATACTGTATAGTCAGCACACACAACCTGTTAATCTTAATTGAACACAACTCATTAAATATTCTAACCACACTATTTCCAGTATTAAAGCTGTCCTGAAAGACTTAATTTGGTGCAACACATTGACCAAAATATTTTAATTAAAAATATTCTGAGTTAGTTGCAGGCCTAATTACAGGAATAGAAATAGGGCCTATATTGTCAGCCAGGTCAGTAGAACTCAGTAGTAGGTTTTTCTCAAGTAAATTGACCGATCTAGGGATAATAGCGCAGCTGCTAAACTGCCAGTCTTGACATGTAAATCAATTTAAATGCAACAACCGCAGTAACTACTTTGATAGTTATTAAATTGATACCTTGGAGATATGCTAAAAAAAAAATAATAAAGCAGAGGGTTTATTACAGGCAACTTTTTTTTTCCTGTAGAAAAACACTGGTTATAAATGCAAAATATATTTTATTAGAAAATAAAAAAACTTGGCTTTTAGTCCAGTTAAGTTATTAATAATGGTATCAGCTCATAATAATCAATGTTCAAAGCAAAGGATATTAATGTGTATTGGAGTTCTAAGAGGCAAATTGTGTAATGGATGCGAATCTACAAATCCAAATATGATTATATAATAGATGAAACAGATATTATCTGATGCTAAATGTTTTCCTTTTTTAATATTTCTAGAAATTCTTAAATACTAATATCAAGATATGTTTTTTATAAAAAGTTAACTCTTGTCTTCAAAAATCTATGTTTAAACCTAGCTCATAAAACAGACTCATTTTAAAAATTACAAATATATTGGTTACAAGATTTCAAATGGTACAACAAACATTAAAACATTTAAATGAAGTCCAATGAACATTGAATCCTGAATTTATTTTAAATTCATAGTCTACTTCAAATTTGTTGGTGGGGGAGAAAAACAAATACAAAAAAACATTATTTTCAGCAAATTTATTCTATGAAATAACTATGTAAAAAGCATAGTTATTAATAAAGAACATCTAAGAAAGTAGCAACAATTCCCTAATAGCATTACTAAGCATTAAATTTACATTAGAGTATTGGACGAAAATACAGCTGAATTCATAGCTAAGAATTCCAGATCAAATACTTTATCATCATTGTCCAAAGTGCTGTGTGTTTATTATTATTAATAGCTTGTTTTTCACCCCATATACAAATTGTATTTAGAGTACAACCAAACTCCAGATGCAAAACCTCATGGACCGAACATATTAAATGGAACTAGATATTTACTAGGTTATGTATGCCACACTAAACAACTGTCTCCAAGGATTAAGCTTAGAATCAATGCTCTATTGATTTTACTATCAATGAACATTGTGGCTCACACAACTGGCCATTTTAAAGGAAGAGAGCTTCTATCACAGCTCACTTTTTTAGAATAGATGCTGTTAAAAGACAAATTACTACTTTCCTGAAGCAAAACTGAAAAAATAAATATCTTAAAATATAGATACGATTTTCATAAGCTATTTAAGGAAAAATGTGCTGTACTAACAATACATAAAACTTAAAGCATCATAAATTACGTACATTTTCAATTTTACAAGTATTTAAACATGTAACACTGTTCAAATGTTCCGTAACTGACTCATACAAATGGTTCCTAATTACTTATTAAAACCAGATTAAGAATGTATGTGTGTATGAATGTGTTATAAAAATATAAGTAAATCTCTATGACAAAAACATTATTAATGCAAAAACCACAAGGCATATAAAGATAACACCTTGGAAATTAAAGCATTTAATTGATTAGACCCACACACTCAACATGTGGTGTGATAACTTCATTTTCTTCAAATATATAGAATGAACATTAAAATAAAGGTCTCGTAATCACTGTGAGTGCCATCCTGTAATTTTCAGTTCACTAGCCATATCTAGTCTTTTTAGAAAAAAATTGGAAAATTGATAAAAGAAATTTTTACCAGGGAAAAAAGTATGGAAACATAAAACATTTATACATTTTGAAATGTAAAGTAACAATTATATAAATAAAAATTTTGCTTCTAAAGAAAAAAACTATTAGAATAATTCTAGCATTTACTTAAGTTGCAGATTTCCCACAACAGAATGCTTGAATTTTTAGCTTAAAACAGCTTAAAAGCACACGACACAATTTTCCTTGAGGTCATTTTTTGAACTTTAGAGTAAAATTTACTGCACAATGACTATAAGCAGGAAACAACTTCTGGTTAATTGCTGATTTGCCCTGTCCCTCTTTATACCACAAATTGTGGCACAGAGCACTTTAGACATTGTATATAACAGATATATGTTACCTCCTCATTCGGGAAGAAAAGGTGCTACAACAGATTTCTTATTCTCAGATTAGTGTTTATTTTGATTCAAACACATCTGTCATCGAATTTAAGCAGGGGTTAGATTTTGTAAATATTTTAAAAATAAAGGCTGAAATCACTTTAACTTTGTAAATAAAACATGATTTTATATAATAAATTAGAATATACTTTCAACTTCTCTAAATGTAGCAACATTAAGTAGACCAAACAAATTTAGGGTTGTGCAACAAAAGAAAACTGACCACTTAGAACAGATTTTAAAATATGCTATTATTAATAAAACCATAATGTAGGCTATATCTACAATGATTATATCTATCGACTCGGTAGTTTAATTTGGCTCATGCTTGAGTTACCTACATAGAAACATATCAGAATACAGATGGGCTATTCCTGCAGGTAAGGAAGGTTACCTTTAGTTAACTAAGGAGTTAACTAAAAAGTTGGTATCATAAGCTTCCTTACGTTAACCAAGAAAATCTATAGATCTTTATGTGTTATAGCCCATGCTTCCAGTGGTGGTGGTGGTGGTATGAGGGGTTAAAGTTTATTCATAATTACGCTCCCAGGCTCTACTCATGTGAAACAGACACTTCCGTCTACACAAAGAATTGTATGTGGATGCTCACACCAACAGTACTCTGCATCGCAGAAATGTTAAAACAACCCCAAAGGTCACCAACAATGGAAGATGAACCGACTGGCATGGAGGGTTACACATTGGGTTGCCAACTGCAAGGACAGCAGGTCGAATATACCAGTCACTCGGCAGGAAAAAGATGAGGCTTTCTCTTTTCATAGAGTTAAAATCTCGGAAACCCAAAGGGGCAGCTCTACTCTGTCATGTAAGGCCACTTTGAGTCAGAATTCACTCAAAGGCCATGAGTAGTTTGAGTTGCCACGAAGAATGGCCCCATAGGATGTCAGAGATTGTAGATCTTTCAGAAAGCAGCCTGCTTCATCTTCTCCCTGGTGAGCAGATTGTGTGGTTCAAATCACCCATATCTTGATTGGAAGCCTGATGCTTAACCCATTGTGCTAACAGCACTCCTTAATGGACTATTAGTTTATAAAAACAAGCAAAATATTAGTGCTGCAACATGGATGAAGCTCAAAAACACAATGCAAAGATTAAGAAGTCAGATGCAAAGGATTACATACTGCCTAACCCATTTTTGTGAAATGTTCAGATAAGACATTCATGTAAAGAGAAAGCAAATCAGTGATGCCTGGGCTGGGAGTTAGAAGGAGCAGATTGCCTGTATATGAAGTCAAGGAACTTTTTAAGGTGATTAAGAATATCCTTAAGCTGGATTAAAACAAAAACAAAAAAACCTGGATTTTGAAAGCACTGTACATTTACTAGAAATTGTTCAAGTGTATACTTGAAACAAGTGATGTTAATGGTATGCACATTATATCCAAAATAAGGCTTTTATGGACAAAACAGTTATCTGGTTTATCTATTTCATTGATATTCCTTTTTTCAACAAAAATTTAATAAATGGGTTTGGTTTCTACGAAATCATAAATCTAAGGGAAAAAATGCCTATAATAATTTTCCAAAATATTAATCATTGGAAAATTATGTATCTAAAAACATTTCTTGAATGAAATTTTAAATAATTAAACAATTGTGATACTATGAAACATTAAAAAAATATCAGTATGAGACGATCTTCCTTTGGAAGGTGAAAGTGACCATATGCGGTCCTGTCCTCGCACCTCCCCCTTTAAAGGAATAATAAACAATAGGTAACTGCCTGCAGAAGTGAGTTTTCTGATATGTTTAAATACTCATCGGTCACCCAGCCTCAGGCACATGCTTTAGAAAAGTGATTCTCAGCTTGATTAGTTAAGACTTTTGCCTCAAGGAAAACCAGTTACCAATGAGTTACTTCTGCCTCAAGGGGTATAAAATACTACAGCTGTCTGCTTAACTGTCAGATCCTTTTTCCTACCAAGTCTCTAAAGTAAATGCTATGGAAACTAATCCTGAAATATGTTCAATGAGTCCAGCTAATGAAGAACCATTACATATATAAGAAATGACTTCAGTAATAAAAATTGTTACAGAGTTAACTGACTTTCAAAATAAACAATCAAAAGGACAAAATCTGATGCCAAAGATGTTGGGAAGCTAAATGAAGCTATCTTAACAGACACATTCATGATTCGGGAAACAAAACTACGGTCTCACTGGGAGAAACCAACTAGAAAATATGCACAGAATGATCAACACTTCTTTCAACAAACTTATAGGTCTCTTTCAACATGGAGTTACATCAAACCAGAAGAATGTCTGTGATTGTATCTGGACTAATGCCAGCCCTTGTTAAAAAGAAAAGAAAATTTCAAGAGACTATCTTCAATCTTTGCTTTGTAATCTGTCAAACGAAGGTATTCAAATAAAAGAGTTAAAATGAGAACCAAGCCTGGTAGCTAACATTTTAGGATATAGAATAGTCCCAGATCACACATTTTAAGAAAGGTTCCAAGTGTCACATAGCATCCTTTGGGGGTTTGTCTTTAGCTGCATTAGTCCCCCCAGGAAAATACAGATTTTTCAGGCTGCCTTTAGCCAATATTCAAAAATACTAATTAAGTACTTTTTAAAAGGTAGATCAACATCAATCTGTAGATGATGGTCTATTAATGGCTTATGGAATCATTTTAATTGATCACAGCCACCACTACTGAAGAAAAATATTTAGCTTAGAACAGAAAATATTAGTCAACTTCACTCATACAATAAGTTTTTTGTAAAATGTCCGTTTCAGTCCCCTGTTTCTATGCATGCATCCTGAAGCATGGTGCACACTGTATATCTCAGTGTGGGTCTGCGTTACAGCCCTCCGCACACATGCCTACATCCCATGCATCTGTGAATTAGGCACTAGAAACCCCTGCCACCGCTCTTCTTTCAGGCCACGGAGAGGTCTCAGACAGAGGGGGAAGCTTCTCTTCTAAAGTTTAACTCTAAACGTAGAATCACCAAGCACAGTAAGAAAAAGGAGGGAAGCAAATGAAATAAAGAAAGAAGCAAAGATATTTTCCCCGCCTCTATCTTTAACAAAGTGATACAAGTTTGCTCTCTGACTCGAACTGTTTTATTCACAATTTCACTCCCAGATGGGAGGAAGACTGAGAAAACATCAAGAAAAGGCACAACTTAAATATCTCTAATCACCCAATCCAAAGCACTTAATGAATAAGAAAAATAGCATCAACAACAAAACAACCCACCAAGCACCGACAGGAACACTCACTGAAATGAATGGGCATGTGCTTAAAGCCAAGTTGAATTTGTATCTCACAAGCCACAGACACCTAAGTTAAAAATCTTATCTCGTGAAGCCATGCCTGGCTGGCATTTTTTGACTCGTGATGCCAAAGTCTAAAGTACTGTAAATATCTTCAAAAGACATTAATGCCGCACTAAACACGAGTTTTAAAGACATTACACTTCTCAGAAGTAACAAAAAGAAATATTAACTTATAATAAATAAAATATTTAAGCACACTTACTTCTTTCCTTTAAAAATGGATATATGAAAACTTTTAACATTTTAATTCAAAAGCAGAAATGAACACTCACCTCTGCCTCCGTTCATCATCTTTTAAAACTTCATAAATGGCCACCAACTAAAATAGAAGCATTACTTTAAATAAAAATGCTTTCAAAAATAATAAATTATTTAGGAGTATAGTGAAGGCACTACAATTCACATGCACACAACCCTGTATAATATTCTAATGAAAAATGCAGGTGAAAATTTATTTAGTAGGAAGTGAGATACAAATGATGGGTTTAAACTGTTAGCTCATTTTCAGTGTAAACATTCCACATATTTCTACCATAAACCTATTCACTTATGCGTTTGTCCCAAAGCGTATGGAATGACAGCATATTTCACTTACTTGTCTAAATTGAGTTTCTGCATTTTCATCTTTATTCTTGTCTGGATGTAAAGTTAGCGAAAGCTTACGATATGCTTTCCTGATGTCTGCAGATGAAGCATCCTGAAGTGATGGGGGGAGGGGAAAAACACAAAGCAAACTTTGTCAAAAAAAAGAAATTCCCAGAACCTTGTTAAAGTCTGAGAAGACAGCCAACCAAGTGCAGGACCTGAGGCAATGTAATTTGAGCAATCAGTCTAACAACCAGGCTATGCAACTAGCCTGACCCACATGGCTGAACAATTATTCAATCTAATTTGGCTCTCCTCTTAACTTTTCATTACTAGAGAGTCATTTAAAGAGGAGAGCATTTGCCAAAACTTTTCAAATGCTAGCTCCCCTAAAATTAATCAGTACATCTTTTTTTGGGTTATTAACAGATCAGAAAGAAACAAATTAAAAATTAATATATCTGTGTGCCTTCAAAGAAGGTCTTTATGTATCTGAGAATATCTCAAAGCCAATTTCTGAATGCCAGGCTTACCATATGTGGTTTCTTCAGCCTATAGAATCTCAGTTTCACATGTCAAAAGCATGCCTATTTGAAGTCAGTTAAGTTTGCATTTATCCAGAATAACTGTAATCAGGAAGTTATGTATATTGTACTTGACATGTTTTCAGTGTTGTCTGCTTTCCCTCATCTAGTTTGCAGTACACATTTTCTCACAATTTATAACTGTTGTTGTTAGTTGCCATCATGTTGATTCAACTCTAATACAGTTTCAGCATATGTTTAAAGTTCCGTAGTTCATTTAGAATACTTTAGACTAAGGGAATATGTAAACTATAAGATTTTATATAATCTTGTATTCACAGCTATAACCAGAGAGCATATCCAATAACAAAACTCACTGTTAAGTAGGAGCTTCAAATTTACTGTCTACTAACTTTCAAAGATATCCCAATAATGAACATTTTCATGTTGGGGAAAAATGATAGTAAAGTGGCTTATTAAATTTTATCTCGTTTCATAGCTGAGTGTTTGTACAATTAGTTTCCTGAAACAACTTTGTCAAATGGCTCAAATGATTAAAAATAAAACAAAAACAAAAACTATGTCCCTGGGACTGAAGAGCTGTTAAAGGGTGAAGAGACAGACCAAGTGACACTATAATTAGTCTACCAAGCTTTCCTCTATAAACTATTATTTTCATTATCCATTTTCTGGGACTTGTTGCTCTAGGCTATTGTTCTACTTAAAAATTTTAACTCAAGTATGAATAGTTTCATAAACTGTGGAGCCTGATGAGCTATAAAATGAGCAGTATAAGCTATCCAGGTTATATGGTTACATTAAAAAAATTTTAATTTGCTGAATAAAATTAATGTTCTCTAGCAATTGTACATAAAGTATATTTTGTACATTAAGTTATATGCAATATGACAGAAAAGGATTATTTAATGGAAAACTGATTAATTCTTTTATGAGAAAATACATTAAATGCTGAAATCAATAACCACCTCCAATAGTGCTTTTAATTTTATTTAGTTGGGACTACAATAAAGAGAAAATTATTCTAAGAGTATATTTAAAAATAATCAGAGTTTACGTGTTTTCTTTTTGGGAACATAGTATATGCATAAAGCAAGCCTACTGTCACTGAGTCCATTCTTACTCATAACAACTCGAGAGACAAAGTAGAACTGACAGCCCAGAGGGCTTCCAGGGTGTCTTCATGGCACTAGACTGCCACACATTTCTTCTGCAGAGCAGCTGGTGGATTCAAATCACCCATGTCTTGGTTTACGGTCAAATGCTTAAGCCAAGGCACCACCAGGGATCCTGGAACATTTATGATTTACTGAAAAATGGAAATGACTACTAATCATCTAATAGGTATCACTGCTTTCAAGTCTTCCTGTCTTGGTCTCAGCGCTCCCATGTTCCTGGGAGAGTATTTACCCAAATGTAAATGTAACTTGTTTAAACCCTTCAGTGGGTGCCAATTGCCTTCATCAACTCACTTGCCCACTTTTTGAGTCTTAATTCCCACAATCTTGTATCATCCTTTCCCTATCATTCATCCAGACCCCAGATGCAGTTCACCAACCTCTTGTTGTTCACTTAGCTGCAGATTCAGACAGCTTTCTCCTGACTAAGGAACTGGTACACAACAGTGCCTGTTTTCTTGAGAATCCTCCCAGTAGGAATATTTCACTAATAAATTGCACCTTCAGTGAGAATAGGGAGTCCCTGGCTGATAGAAACAGTTAATGTGCTCAGTTGCAAATAGAAAAGTTAGACGTTTGCGTCTACCTATTGAACTGGGCAACCTGGTGGTGTAGTGGGTTAAACAGCAATTGGCTATTAATAACTCAAAGGTTGGTAGTTCAAAACCAACAGCCACTCCACAGGAGAAAGATGATGCCGCCTGCTTCCATAAACATTTACAGCTTTACGCACAAGTCTTTTAAAATATGATTGAATTATTGAATGGTAGGATATATGAATCATATGTCAACAAAACTGTTTTTAAAAAAAAGTTACAGCCTCAAAAACCCTAGGGAGCAGTTCTACTCTGTCTTATAGGGTAAGATGAAGCCCAAATCAAATCAATGCCACCAGGTATTAACTTAGTATGAATCCTAACTAGATTTTTATTAATTAAGATGTTAATTACAATTACGAGAGTAACCACTAAGAATGAAAACTTATATGTAAAAGACACAAAAGGAAATGGAAGTGGTACATTGGGGGGGGCTACTAAACTAAAATTAAAAGGAAGCAGTAATGGAAAAACTGAAGAACAACAAAATTTACATAAATGGAAAGACCTACTGTGATTAGTGCAAGACTTACTATTGTTAAAAGGACAATACTTCCACAATTGATCTCCAGATTCCATACAATCTCTATAAAAATTCCACTAGGCATTTTGCAGAAATTGACATGCTGACTTAAAAATGCATATGGATATAGAAGAGACTCAAAAATAACAGAACAATATTGAAAAAGATGACAAGTTAAGAGGACTCACATGTTCGGTTTTCAAAACATACTACAAAGCCACAGGAATGAAAACAGTGTGCCAGTGATAACAGGGTAGACATATAGACCAAAGGGGAGATCTGAGAGTCTAGAAATAAACCTTTATATCTATAGTCAACTGATTTTCAAAATGGGTGCTAAGACTATTGATAGGGAAGGAATAGCTCCTGAAAAATAATATTGAGTCAATTGGATATTCACATAAAAAAGAATGAAGCTAGACCATATATCATATTGTTTAAGAGCATCCACTCAACATGGATCAAAGAATTACAATTAAGGACTAAACCTATAAAATTTGTGTAAAAACACATAGAAGTAAATTTACGTGACCTTAGAGTTCAAATGGATTCTTAAATATGACACCAAAGCAAACACAATAAAAGAAAAATAGATAAATTTGAGCTGATAAATTAAGATTTTTGTATAAAAATATGAGAAGGTAACATACAAATTAGAGGAAATTGCTTGCAAATATATCTGATAATGGTCTAGTACACAGAACATATAAAAAAAACTCTTAAAACTTGACATTAAAAAAAAAATCAAACAACTGATTTGGAAAGTAACAGAAGACTTAAGTAGGCATAGGCATTTCCTCAAGGAAGATGAGATTGCTATAAAATCAGAGAACACTTTATTAAACAAAAACATCAAAATGTGTATCTGTTGTTTCAACACATCCTCCATGTAGGTCTATAGACTTCTGAAGGCGTTTCCATCTTTCTAATCTTTCCTGAAAAAAATTCTGCGCTCTTTTATTCACACTACATCAAAACTGTGGTTTGGGCATTCTTGTAGGACACAAATTGTGTTCCTTTTAAATGTTTTCTGAGGTTTTTTTTTTTGGGGGGGGGGGAGAAGGTTGGAGGGGCAAGACTAGGTCTGTAAAGTAAAGGAGTAAAGTTTCCCAATAAAATGCTCACAGGTTAGCCTTTGCTACTCTCGAAGAATGTGTAGCTGCGTGGTCATGATGAAAACAATTCCTCACTGCAGCTTTTTTGGCTTTTTATAATCATCTTTTTTTTTTTAAACATCTTAAAATAAGTATTTGTAACTGCCTTGTGTCCTTTGAGAAAATTTATCAAGATTACCTCTTAGGAATCCAAAAAAAACACCCCAACCAGTTTTTATAATTTTCTGAGCTGACCTCTCTGTCTTTAATTTTACTGACCCAGGAGATAGATACCTTTAGAAACCACTGCTTTGATTAGATCTCTTTTTTCAAGGCACTGTAATTCGACAAAGACAAGTGCACTGCTGAGAGAACGCACTGACAGCAGGGACATGTTTAAACGCGTTTTGTTTGGAATAAACTCATGCACATATGAACTGGAATCCTTGCAATCCTTTTCGGCTCATTCTTACACAAATGGCCAACGTTGTGAAGTGCCAGGGAGCTGGTTCCGACTCATAGCAACCTTGTACACAGCAGAAAGAAGCCGTGCCAGTCCCGCGCCGCGACATTCTCACCACCAGCACTCTATTGAAGCCAACTGTGGCAGACATTGTGTCAACTCAGCTCACTGAAGGCCTGCCTTTTTGTTTGTTTGTTTGCAGAGCCTCTATTTTACCAAGTATGATGTCCTTCTCTAAGGACTAGGAGTACCTCTTGAAAACATCCAAGACACATGGGGCAAACTCTCACCATCCTCATTTTTAAGGAGCATTCTGGCTGATTATACTTTTTCCGAGATTAAATTTTTCATCAATAATCATGCTCAAACATCATTAGGGACATGCAAGCCCAAACTACTTCACATTCACTAAAATAGCTATTGCAATTAGAAAGAGGAAGACAGCAAGTGAGAGCAAAGAAGTGAAGAAACTGGGATGCTTCAATGCTACTCGCGGAAATGTACAATGATGCAGCGATTGTGGGGAACAGGTTCCTGGTTCCTCCACGTTAAACACAGACTTGCCATATGTCCCAACAATTCTTCTCAACACTGTATACCCAAGAGAACTAAAAGCAGGTGTTCAAACAAAAATTAGTACACGAGTGTTCATAGTTGCATTCATCACACAGTTAAAAAGTAGAAATGACACAAATCCCCAGCAACCAATAAATATT